AAATTTAAGAATATGTAACAATATGCAAGAATATGTAAGAATATTTTAAGAATATATAAAAATTTTGCCCATCCCTAGCCGTAACTACCCAAAAGTCAGAACCAAAGGAAAATGTTAGTAATCACCAGAAAGACCATGTAAATAGAAGAAAGAAATTTCTCTGGTACATCGGGAAATTAAGTCTCTTGCCTTGTACGTATGTATGTGAGCATAGAAATAATGAAAATAATGAATAATAGAAATAATGACAAAAACAGATACCGAGGTCTTAGTACGAAGAAGGAAAGCGAAAAGGTAAAAGTTTTCTTTGTTTTTTTCATATACTTTATATGTACTGCATACGACTATAAACAAATTGCATCAATTATATTGATTTTGTTCATACTACATTTTTTTATGCATCGTGACTGATATTATTACATCTTTTTTTTTATGCTTCGTGGCTGATACTACAAGTCATAGATGTTACTATTGTACTATCAGGCTTTTAGAAGGCCCGAAGTTAGATTTACCCCTCTCATTTATAATAGTTCATCAATCGGAATAAGAATTTTTATTTTTTATTTTTTTTAAATTAATAACAAGAATAAAACATGCAATTAGCCATAAAAATATATATATAATAATTTAACTTACCAGTAAACTATTTACTTTTATTGCACTTTGTTTGAAAAATAAAAAAATAGTAATAATGTTGAGAACGAAGTAAATTTCAATTGATTTTTGAGCATCTATTATTAGTTATCAATTCAAAAAAATTAAATTATTATATTGAATTGTTATCGTATTGTATTTTTTGAAAATCCATACCAGTATTTGCAAAATATAAACATGGACACTTGTGGACCATGTCAATACTGTTCATATTTTTTTATTGGGCATGAGGTGCTTGGTCTAAATCACTTACTATTCCGAAATATTCCAATAGAAAGAGGCCAAAATTAGGTAACATTCCGAAACTTTCCAAAACTTTTGCAAAAGTAGATATTAGCATATATCCATATTTGTCCAAGTCCTTCATTGGACATAGTCCAAATGCAAACACTGTCCAGACCATACTGATCTATTATATCTATTATAACTGATTTCCTATCACCTTTAAATTTGTGTCAGGTTGGCGGCATTAAAAATTTGCGTCAACCAACAAATAAAATACAAATTATAATAAATTTTAATACGTATAAGCGCGAAATAACGCTCGTGGGCGTTATTTTGAAAATAAGGTCCTTCAAAAATATCTTGTATGGTCTCGAATTAGCGTTCCGAATTAATGCACATCCAAATGTTTATTATTGCGATAAATGATATACAGTCGAGATTCCATGCACCTTCACTATAATGATACAGTATAGGCGTGAAATAACGTTCGTGGGCGTTATTTTGAATATTAGGCCCTTTAAAAAATAAATTATATATGGTCTTGAATTAGCATCCCGAATTAACGCGCATCCTAATGTATAATGTATTGTGCAATAAATGATATACAGTCGACATTTGATATCACACACTCTATAAGCACATTTCACATGTATTTCCTATAATAATGCTGTACCGTATAAGTGTGAAATAACGTTTATGGGCATTATTTTGCTTATCATGTCCTTCAAAAATAAATTATATATGGTATCGAATTAGCATTCCGAATTAACGTGCATCCTAATGTATAATTTATTGTTGCGATAAATGATATACATATCACACTCTCTATAAATGCGCTTCACATGTATTTCCCTAAAATGATACCGTATAAGTGTGAAATAACGTTCGTGAGCGTTATTTTTGAATATATGGTCTTGAATTAGCGTCCCGAACTAACGCGCACCCTAATGTATTATTTATTGTCGCGATAAATGATATACAGTCAACACTCCATATGCACACTTCACATGCACTTTCCTAATAATGATACCGTATTAGCGCGGAATAACCCCAACATGTGTGTTATTTCGAAATAAATGAAGATTTCTAAACCAATCGTTGATTCTCACTTTCCCGAAACCTACCTTACCGAAATACCAATTCACCTACCCCATAATTCCGATATCCCTTTTTCCCGACAAGACATTCTAACAGTATATTTACTGATAGAAATTTTTACCGAATTTTTTTTCGACACTACTAGATGCAGGGGAATTAATTCCACACGTGTAGAATTAATTCTACAATCTGTCAACAATTCCACACTTGTGGAATCGATGATCATTAATAATTTTTGCAATTCTACAATTCTTCACCTGTAGTGTAGAATTCTAGAATTCGATCATTAAAAACACATTATGTACAAAAGTTACATTTTTGGTGAACTGTAATCCTTAATTTTAATTTATAATTTTGCAATTAGGGTTTTTTATAAAAAAAAAAGTCTACTATACAATGCTTGTTAGGTAAAACCTTTTCCTAACGATGATAGAAGACAAACTTAAGGCCAGCGAAGATAAAATTTGGCAAAACCTCAAATATAATCGTTAGGTGAATCCTAGAGATATCATATCTGCAAAAGTCGAAACCCCAAGTTTAGTCTTTTATTATCATTCGGAAAAGGTTTCACTTAACAAGTATAAAAAAAAGCCTTAAATTAATTGCGAAATTATTAATTTATATTAGGAATTACATTACATCAAAAATGTAACTTTTGTATTTAATGATCGACAATTCTAGAATTCTACACTATATACAAGAGTAGAATTGTAGAATTACTAAATTATTAATGATACAATTATACATTGTGGAGTTATAGAATTACTAAAATTATTAATTATCATAAATTCCATTATTGACCGATTAATTCTACACGTGTGGAATTAATTATGTATATCTAGTCAAGAACGTAGTAAATTATTACTGTAATATAATTTTCTCACACCCAGGCTTAAAAATGAGGACCAACAAAAATGGCAAATGGCTCATTACGAACAAAATTAATAGAGAAAGTCCAAGAAAACACTCAAAATAGGTATACATAAATCAATGTACTAGTAATATGCGCGCGCATAGCCTGATGAACAAAAATTTAGATAGAAACTCCATGATCAAATTAGGAAAAATCGAACCACATATCGATATAGGTGGAAAAGCCCCGTGAGTAAATTAGGAAAATTTTGAACCATATATAAAGCCCACACGCAATTTCTAATAATATACATATAAATAGAGGCTTATGACATTACTTAGTTACGTTTTATAAAACAAGTTTGCAGAAAGAAATAATCATATGACGGATAAAAAATAAGAAATCCAATCAAAAGCACGGATTTGTGCAGAAACACTTCATACGCCGCTTAACCATGCACTCCGTTCCTGGTATAATTGATTAAATAATTGATCGGCTATAGTCTCGACTAACTGGCTAAGAGTCGATAACCGGTCGTAGTCGACCGTAGTCGACCGAATCCATCCATAGTCACACTAGTGTATAATCACTATGCGTAAACTAATAAATTTCAAAATACAACTTGGGTCTAATCACTATGCGTAAACTAATAAATTTCTAAATACAACTTGGATCTAACTATGCACTCTTTAACTATGATCTTGGCATTCAGTCTATAGAAAGCCGAATTGCATTGCAAAAAAAGTTATTCAAAATCTATTCTAAATCTATTCTAAATTATCTAACCATAATCTATTTAAAAATCCTGCATACCTCGAAAAGGTACTTGAGGATGTTTTATAAAATTTATAGCCTCTTGAAACTACTAGCAAATCTACAAAGGGAATTAGAAATTCATACATAATCGTACCATCACTAGGGTTTTTTAAAGATTTTAAAGGTTCTAATAAATCATCAAAATCATTTAGCATATGAACACACGGAAAAGTTTGAAAAAATAATCGAAGGGATTCGCTATCACGTTTATCTGTTGCTAGAAATATTTTTGTTGGTAAACAAGCACTGCCATCTTTTATATCGATGTCCTTAAAATCATTTTGAATTGTTTCAATGAGATTTTGTACTGTCATATTTTGATGCTTTAAAAAGATACTATCACCTAATCTAGCATGCACACCAATAAAACTATTCGTCCCACCAATTTTATCAACAATTTTATTTGCAATGCTAAGTATCGTTGGATTATTTGGTAGCATCATCTGTTTTAATTTGGTTTTAAAATTTCTATTTTCGGGTAATGTTGCAATAATTTTGTGCGATGAAAATACACTTCCGAAATGTAATAATTTTTCTGATCTTCGTCTTAATTCGACTAAATTTACGCACTTTTGGAATTTAGAGGTATTATAATCACAATATTGTTGTTCTCTGCTATTAGATATATTATAAATTTCGGCATCATTATTAATATAAAGTGATTCTATTAAGTGATTGAAATTAAAATCTTGACGATAAATGTATTTAATATTTTGTTTTAAAAATGTAAAATCCATTAATTCTTCCCAATTGTACCTAATGTAAGATTCTGCCTGGCAATTTTCTAGGCTATTATTTTTACATACTGTATGTTTTGATAAACGATTGTATAGATCTTCAAATGATCTTCCTATTGGGATTAATGCACGGCTTTTATACATTAAGAGAGGCGGAATTATCAAAGTTCTATTTAAGAACCATGCTAAAAATACCGCATTTTCTAATGCAATTCTTTGATTATGAAATCCACTATGAGGAAGATATGTTAAATAATTTTCTTGATGAATCATTGATAAATTCGATAAATTATTAAAATTTGAAAATGAATCATATGTAGTAAAGTAAAAAATCCAAGAAATCGCAAATAAAATAATTGAAATGAAAAGAAAACATGAATTTCGTTTAGATTGAAAATTTTGAAATTTTTGGATAGTCATAGTACCATAAACTTATGACTTTCAAGGTTTTAATTTTTACAATTTTAAAATGTACGTACGTACGTCTAATTTATATAATAATTGAACTTCGGTTGTTTGACGAGGGTGTAAAAAAAGAATCGAATGGAGCCAAAATTATCCAATTTGGATTAGTAGATCACGAGAACATTGCATTTTTTTATAAAATATATATATATTTTTAACCCCTCTACCTTATTAGAAAAGTTTTTTTTTTTTTGAGACCCCATCTCTTGTATAACTTTATCTAAACTATTTAATGATAAATTCACGTTCAGATTTTCCGTAACCTTTTTTTATATAAGTTCATCTTCCTAAATGCAATTAAAATGTCAATAAGAGATATAAACGCTGTTATATAACCAGGATCATCCGCAGGTGATCATCCGGATAATAAAAAATGTCATTAAGGTTATCCGCGGGTAGGTTATCCGGATAGTAGAATATAAAACTTATCGTTATGTAATGAATTCATACACAATTATTTTTTCACATTTGAGTTTTCATTCACAATCCTAATACAGTGTCAATGCTTCATACATATACTTTAGCCGTAATCTTGTATCTGCGATTATCTTGTTTACTGAACCTGATTTCTTCGGACAATCCTTCTGGTTGAATTTGTCCAAATAGAGTTAATCCGGATTTCAGCTTCAATCACAATATTCAAATCTATGTGATATTTCAATTTGTAATGTTTATACACATTCATTTACAGCTATTATCATAATTCCCGGGACACCTGATAAAAATTGACCGAACGATTTTTCGGCTGATTCGGTTGTGATTTTTGGAATAATAAATTCAATAAATTTATGTATGTGAGTGCCGCCAAAGGATAAAATTATTATCGGGCTTTCAATTATACTTCGCAACGGGCACAATTCCTAATAAATTAGATTTTGTCCAATACAAATAGCCAATAAGGTTTTTCCTTGACGACTTTCATATACGTAATTTAAGGTCAGGTTACTTTCAAGGCATTTTAGCTTGCAATTAGTTGAAAAAAAAATTAGAAAGAGTGAATTAAGTCTATTAGAGGTGATCCTTTCATTTAGCACTGGGGTGTGTTCAATCATTTGAAATGAAGATCGTAAAGTAATTATAATACAAAAATAGCTTTTATTATACGGATCGAACCGAATTCGAACCGGCCGAAAAATCATTCGGTTAATTTTTCCCAAAATTATGATAATAGCTGTAAAATTTGTAAAATTCTTGAAATCGAGGTTTTTAATTTCTTGCACCATACGTACGTACAATTTTCTGAATATAATTTACAGTTGTTTCAAAAATTCTGGGACAACTGAAAAATTTTTGATAACTAATTCGATAAGTTACAGAATTGAAACACTGGTACGTACGGTATATGAGGTGTTACATATTAAAACAGCACTTTTTTACATGTAAATCATTTTGATGGTCTACAAATAGTAATTCATATAAATTTTTTTAATAAGTTTATTTTGTGGATCTATACAAATAGCTCTTATTACTTATAATAAACTTTAGGATGCGCTTTAATTCGGGACGCTAATTCGAGTCCATACAAGTTATTTTTGAAGGACCTGATTAAACTACGCCTCCCGACGTCCCTCTTTAGAAGGGTGTTAAAAAAAAAAAAAAAAAAAAAAAAAAAAAAGGACCCGATTTTAAAATAACGAGCGTTATTTCGTGCTTATACGGTATTAAAATTTGGAAAAAAACTAACCACACACGGTGTGTTTGAAACCCGGTGTAATTTTTATACGAATTAAAATAATTTGTATTACGGCTGATTTGAAAATTAGTATTAACCATAGTAATAGTAATAGCTGCCGCAACAAATTTGGACCGGCAGATCCTCGATTTTGATTGGCTAAGAGCGACGAAAAAAAGATTAGGCC